AGAGTAAAGCAGCTCGGAGATCCACGGCGTTTGATCCCAGCCCCCTCCCGGCCTTCGCTCTTTCATTATTGATTTCTTTTCTCTGCGCTTACATGATCGTTGTGCAAGGACGCCCAAGCCCTGACCTTTGGACTCCTTTATCAGCAAAACAAGCCAGTGTGCAGCGTGTAATTGTACCAGAGTGACTGCTGTAATGAACGCACACACGCACGCGCACACACACACTGCTGTCCTAAACAATAACCTGATTGGGTGATAAATTCATGTTTGCTGAATGATGATGAAGGTTAAAGATGAAATGCAAATGAATGAAATTGAAATATTTGATGTGCGCAGACTTTGTTCAGATAAACTGAGCTCTGATCTGTTACCGTCACGTTTCATTTGCTGCACTTTGTTACATTTTGCAGAGCATTTGGTATTTTGTTGAAATCCTCACTCGCCATACCTACAGCATGATGTCATCGTTTCTAGAAAGCTCTAAACAGGCTCATTGTTCTTGAGCTGGTGATGCAACAGTAAAAGTGGCAACATATTCATCAAAAACAGAGCTGAGTTAATCAAAATCGCCGTGGCTCGGTGATCTCTGCGTCAGCTTTAGATACAAACGTATATTCTGTGATATCTACGAGTCTCTGTCCCCACAGTGAGGAAAATCAAACGTTCAACAAGGAAAAATAAAATATGAGCTGAGTATCCGAGTTATCGCTTCATCTACAAGCATCGTTCGATCGCTGGAACGTTACGTCACCAGTTTTTAAAGCCGTTCTTCTCCAGACTCAGACAGATGTGACCAACACATCACAACACCTGGAAACATGAGACACGATCATCTGAGTGCAGACATGAATCAAACTCATGGATATTCCTGTGCACTATAGACACAGGTCTCTAGTGCAGCCTGAAAACAGACGCACTTTACTGGACGAGTTCAGGTTTCAGAGTGAAGTTAACACTTTCCAAATTAAACAGATACAGACAAAGGAAGGAACATTTCCTCCTCCTTAATACTTGAATCCTACATTCTTCTGATCTGACTGATTTCCTTTCTTACACTCTCTTCTTTTTCTGTTTTCTGTCTCTCGTCACTGTAATCTCTCACTGACTCTTTAAAAATAAACAAATCTTAAGATCACACTGACCTGGACGTACACTTTTAGATCTACAACGTCTTTAACCATTAACATAAGGTTCATGTGGACTTTTATGAGAGCTGTCCATCAAACCGCCGTGCTGACTAAACGTGAGACGACCTCGGCCCACGGTGGCTCAATTTGAAAGGTGTGGTTGTGGTCAGAGAGCCTACCAGCTGAGGCAGATTGTGTAATGATGGATCTGCTGTGTTTTCACCGTTTAGTCAGAAAGTAAAACAGGAGATGTGTTTAATACTATTTTAACAGCCTCACAAAACAACCGAGTGAACGTGCTGACCAGTTACAGACGGGTGGTCACATGTTGGGTCCAACTACAACTTTGTAAATCAGTCAGATTTATCAGGCTGCAAAAGTCACTCATTGAACTGTGTGAACGCTCTGGCAGCTGTTTGTGTACC